CGGGACACCTTAGATTTTGAGTGAGATTGAGAGGTTCTATGGCCAGCTGTATACGTCATCGTTGGAGCTACACGCAAGTGTGAGTAACAATCCAAGAGCGAGTCTTATCCGACACTATTTCGAAGATATTCCGGACGTCAGTCTGAGCGATGTTAGAATGGCTCTCCAGCACCTTAAAACGACAAGTCCCCGGGCAAGGATGGAATTACAGCGGAGCTTCTGAAAGCGGGTGGAAAATCGGCACTTGAAGTCCTTCAGAAGCACTTTAATTCCGTCCTCCATGGTGGTACTACTCCGGAGGCGTGGAGCAAAAGTGCGGTGGTCTTGTTCTTCAAGAAAGGCGATAACGTTCTCTTGAAGAACTACAGACCGATTTTCCTTCTGAGCCGCGTCTATGTGCTGTTTCCGAGAGTCATTACGAATCGTCTCGCACACAGATTCGATGACTTCCAGTCTCCCGAACAAGCCCGTTTCCGAAAAGGCTTTAGTACCATAGTCCACATACACACCCTTTGGTAAATTTTACAGAGGACAGAAGAGTACAATCTGCCACTTTGCCTTGCGTATGTGGACTATGAGAAAGCCTTTGATTCCGTCGAAATTTGGGCGGTGCTACAGTCCCTACAGCGGTGCCAAGTTGACTGTCGGTATATCAAAGTGCTGAAGTGTTTGTACAGTAGGGCTTCGATGGCTATCCGAGTACAGAATCAGAGTACGAAATCTATCCAACTACAGAGAGGTGTAAGACAGGGTGACGTTATATCCCCGAAACTCTTCATCACTGCATTGGAAGTCACTTTCAAGCTACTGGACTGGAAAGGATACGGTATTAACATCAATGGCGAGTACATCACTCACCTTCGATTTGCCGACGATATAGACCTTATGGCAGAATCGCTGGAGGACCTAAGGACTATGCCTAATAACTTCAATAGTGTCTCCCAACGGATAGGTCTTAAGATGAACATGGACAAAACAAAGATCATGTTTAATGTCCATGTCACACCTATCCCGGTAGTTGTTGGAAGTACTAAGCTCGAAGTTGTTAACGATTATGTTTACCTGGGACAAATAGTCCGACTAGGCAAGTCCAACTTCGACCGAGAGGTCAATCGACGGATTCAATTTGGTAGGGCAGCGTTCGGGAAATTACGGCACATCTTCTCGTCAGGTATACCTCAAAACTTGAAAACGAGACTGTACAACCAGTGCGTGTTGCCAGTGATGACCTATGGTACTGAGATGTGGTCCTTCACTGCTGGCCGGATGAGAAAGCTCAAGGTTGCTCAGTGAGCTATGAAGAGGGCTATGCTTGGAGTTTCTCTGCGTGATAAACTTAGAAATGAGGACATCCACAGTAGAATCAGAGTGACTGACATAGCCCAGCGGGTTAGTAAGTTGAAATGGCAATGGGCCGGCCATATAACTCGAAGAACCGACAACCGATGGGGAAAAAAGTTTCTCGAGTGCCGGCCTCGTAACGGCGGAAGAAGTGTAGGGCGTCCCCCCACTAGATTGAGTAACGACCTGGTAAGACATGCAGGAAGTCGATGGATGCAGGTGGCTCAAGACCGTGTTTTGTGGCATTCCTTGGGGGAGGCCTATGTTCAGCAGTAGACTTGTGAAGGGCTGTAATGATGATGATGATTATGAAGTATGTTTAGCATTTTTTGTTTTATTTGGTAGGTGATTGATAGAAAACCGCCCTGGGTGCCAGCCAACCCACGCTACGCCGCCACTGTCGATAATACAGGGAGCTTAGAGCAAAAATGTGCTTTTTGACCTTCCTTGACCTCGAATATTATTGAAACACCGGATTTTAGAATAAACATTTGTTATTGACATATGTATTATTTTTGAAACGCTGCTATTAAAAATGATTTGCAAGTAAAGATTTAATCTAACATCATTTTTCAAAACACCTATGCTTGACTGGTAGAGCATAACAGAATGTATAAAGTTGTAACCAATAAAGCTTCATTGATAATTTATATAATTTACATAAGTTTCGTACTACTCGATGTAAAGTTAATGCTCTAAAGTTAAAATAAAAAGTTAAAATAATAAAGGTATACATTTACACACAGGGCGTAGACCTTTTGATTACTGGAAAGGTTTTGTTGCAAAGAAGACTTCACCACCATGTTGACGGACTTCCCTCAACTTTGAAATAATTTATTATTTCTCAGACATGCTGACACCCGCGTGTCAGCATGGTTTTCACATGATGTTTTCCTTATCAATCAATATACGTCAATATCAAAATGTAATCAATATTTTATAAAATATTGATGATCGCTTAGTGTTCAGAGTAGGTACTTAGTATGACGTCTCTGTTCATAATCTCAAATCCACACACTCCAAAAATTGTGTTAGAACAGAAATTCTAGATTCTCTCCGCCACCAGTTCCGAGTTCCGAGTTGCCGAGCATCTAACACTACACTACTAAAACAGGTTACATTAACAACTTAAGTATTATTTTAATTAGATATGTAATCTTTGGCAATCAGTCTTAGAATTAGCATTCGCGTTTACATCAATTTTCATTTAAACGCGAATTATAAAAACTTAAAAAATATAAAAAATTACATGTACATCACACCGTCTTGCCTCACTAGTGGGGCAAGATGGGATAGCCAGTGGTTAAGATGGGGTACCCATGAACTATCGTTATTAGATTGTTTTCTTGTCTTAGTCTTTGCGTTTTCATTCTTTAATTTTTTTATTGATATTGAGTTGGTTGTTTGTTTGCTATCATTTTGTTCACTTTAGTTCTTTTTTTGTTTTCTTCGTTTTGGCGTTCATGATCCCTTCTAACTCATTTTAAGGGTTCCGTAGTTACACAACAAGAAACCCTTATAGTCTCGATTCAGGGGTCCGTTTGCGAAATATTTAGCTTTAAAGTGATATTTTTCATTAGTCATGTGTCCCCCCCCCCCCCCCCCCCGGTTACAATTAACCACTATTTTTGGAAATGTAAAAAGTATACAAATTAGTAGTATATATAATGAAGTTAAAAGGAAAACTATCACAGCTATGAAGAATTAAGAAGTTAACGAGTAATAGTCGACCAACTTATAAAATGCACTTGGATTAGTAAAAATTTCGTTACAACTCCATTGAAAATGACCTAAAACTAGCTGCATTATAATTTTGTAATTTTATATCTTTCTTTGTTTTTAATCTTTTTTTTTTAAATACTAGTAATGCTATTAAACATTACTAATATTCCTTTTAACCATTTCTGGTAAGCTTAAAATACTTGTGTTAGAAGTGGTTCACGACAGTAGTCTAATAGCGGATTCGAACCCCACGTCCTTTTGAGTTCGCGGTCCGTGCCCTGCCGTTAGGCTACTGACTAAAGCGTCAGTAGCCTAATGGCAGGGCACGGACCTTATGTATATATTAAACTTTTTTTAATTTTTTGTTAATTAGCAACCCTTTGCAACTTTAGCTTACTAATAGCAAGAGGATCTTCACGTACTTTTAAACTATAAAGTTTTTAGCAGCCGATACTCCAATCAGTTCTCCAATACAGCGGTTACCGCATTTTGCATGACACTTTCTGTCCACTGTTCTCTTCGTTTCGTTTATATACAATGTACAGTGTACTCTGTGGCTCTCTTGTAGTTTTGCGTTTAAAGTTCCTCGCCATCCTAAAACAAGAGGTAAGTATTCAATTTTAGCATAATGACATACAGACACATGTGTACAAAACCACGGTATCTCGGTATTTCGTTTACGAATATGGGATAGGGCAAGATGGGATACCGTTAAAGCTGTATAACCCCGTTTTACCCCACTACCTCATTTAAAACAAAAACAAAAATAATGACAGGAACATAAGTGGTTTTTGAAAATGCTGTAAAAGACACTAAACGTTAACGTCTGCCCGGTATTACCCCCACCCCGTCTCATCCCGCCCTCCTCTGTTTCCTATTCTATCCATCTATTTTCTGTGATGTTGGTGCTGTTAGCCTATACTGTTCTTACAGCTCCATCTGACACAGGGCAGGGCAGCTATTTAGAAAAAGGGAAAAGCAATGATGGGGATGAGGATGATGTTCGTTTATGATTTGGTATTGGTTACCAATCATCATGTTTCTTCTGTTGAGGTTTTTTGACCTATCTAACCGCTGTCCAAGTGTCGGTCAATGTTCTGGGCGGTGAGAATCGGCCAGTTACGCGGGTGTACGGTGTGTGCCGGAACGCGTCGTACCAGCCTACGGGTGTGACTGTGACGCGCCCCATCCGTCATACTTCCGATTCTATTGCGTAACCATCTTATCGGGTACGTGTAAAGTAATGAAGTTGCAGTTGCAGATACAGGCTTATTCTGAATTTGAATTAGCAAAACATGTTTAAGTACGTGAAGCTGTTTGCTCATAAATGTACATAGCTATAATTGATATAGTATACTATGTATAGTTGTGATAGCTATATCATCCGGCCTGGACAGGTTGAAAGATTCTTTGTTCGGATTGTAATTTTCATCGCCTTGTTTAACAGCAATTTTCTGTTTTGAATTTGATGCGACATCTTTCACCAGCTGTGCTGATTTTTGGTTAACAACGCCATAATACGTGTTCGGTGGAGAGTTATTTGTTAAAGTTTCTTATTATTTATTTATTTATTTAACAATTTATGTACACACAAAATAATGTTACAAGGAAGAGAAAAAAAATGATATTTTGTACAAAGGCACTGCTTATTTCATATTGAAATTTCTTCCAGCAGGCCTGATACTGGACAAATTAAAAGAGAAGCTGATCTAGTGTGCACTCTTATAATAAAATTTTATAATATTAATATACTTAACATAAAGTAAAGATAATAAAAACAAATATCCATGTAAACATACATATAACTAAATACCACTTATAATACATATACACACACATATATATATATATATATATATATATATATATATATATATATATATATATATATATATATTACATATATTAATATAATAATATATTATATATATGTATAATCATTGGGACGACAAAGAAAGATAGTGCTCTTTGACTCGCCTTTTGAACACGGACACTGATTGAGCCTCTCGAATTGCAGCAGGAAGAGAATTCCATAACCTAACTGCATGTACTGTAAAAGAGTGAGAATAGGACTTAGTTTTAGAGGAAGGGAAATTGAGGAGGGTTTTTAAATGTGATCTGCAAACTGCATCGGGGGAGTGTGCAAAGTGGAATCGATCACGAAGATAGGGTGGTGATGTTGGATTGTATAGTATGTTAAAGAGGAGGCATAGGATTCGGGTATTCCTGCGAAGTCGGATTGGGAGCCACTTGAGCTGTTTGCGATAGGAGGAGACGTGGTCATACTTTTTTAGTCCGAAAATATAACGAATACATAAGTTTTGCAAGCGCTCAAGTTTGTTTAATTGCTCCTCAGTCGCATCCAAATAACAGACATCAGCATAGTCAAGAATCGGGAAAATAAGTGTTTGGACAAGAGAAATCTTCGTTGATAACGGTAGAAAGTGTTGAAGGCATTTTAAGGAATGAAAAGTATAATATATTTTTCTGCTAATTTCTGTGATATGTGCATTCCATGTCAACTTGCAATCCATGATGATGCCCAGATTCTTAAGCGTTTCTGAAATGCTTAGTGGAATACCATTAATTTGTAGAGTTGGCAGTGAAGAAAAGTCAAGTAATTTACGAGTAAACCTGGTGCCTATAATCATTGCTTGTGATTTTTTAGGGTTTATAACAAGTCCGTATGAGCTAGACCACTCATCGATTTTATTTAGATCGTTATTTATTTCAAGTAATGCTGAATTTGCTTCAGTCACTAGAAAATGACGATACAGCTGCAAATCGTCTGCATAGAGATGGAAGTTTGAAGATATCACCTGGGTGATACAGTTGATAAAGATAGAAAAGAGTAAAGGAGAAAGGACGCCACCTTGAGGTACACCCGTGGCTAGATTGCACCACTTGGATAAAGTTTCATTGATACGAATACACTGAGAGCGGCCACGGAGGTAGGAATCAAACCATTGAATAGTTGAAGGAGACACATTAATAGAATGAAGAATGCTAAGAAGTATATCAAAATCAATAGAATTGAAGGCACTACTAAAATCTAGCAGCACGAGTACCGTTAAATATTTTTGGTCTATACCGCACCGGATATCATCCGTTACCTTGAGGAGAGCAGTAGTTGTACTGTGACCAGGCCTAAAACCGGATTGGAAAGTACTTAAGATATTGTTACGGTTAAGAAACTTGGTCAATTGTGTGTGGACAATATGTTCAAGTACCTTTGAAAGAAATGGTAAAATGGAAATAGGGCGGTAATGTGTTGCAGATGAAGGATTTGAAACTTTGGGTATAGGAATAATATGAGCTAACTTCCATGACGACGGAAAGCAACAAGAAGATAAAGAGAAATTAAAGATATGAGTAAGAATAGGGAGCAGAAAGGGAAGAATCAACGTAATTATTTTAGAGCAGATGTTATCATTTCCCATAGCAGTAGATGAAATTGCAAGGACGGATCGCATAGAATCATCTTCAGTAAGAGAAGTGAAATTAAATGAGGAATAATGACGTATTGGGCATTTGGATAATTCAAGTAGGGTTCTGGCTTTGGTAAATGATGAAACTATTACAGGAGGGTTGGCAAAATGTTCGTTGAGACTATCCAAGTTAATTTCACTTCCCACACTAGCAGAATATTTTCCAACACCGACAGATCTCAGAAAATTCCATGCTTTTGCAGTATCGCAACTTGTGAGGGTATCATGAAAATAGCGCCTTTTAGCATCTCTACACAAACGATTGCAGCGATTTCGTAGTATTTTAAAGCTGATTAAATTGCGTTCAAGGGGATATCGCTTATACCTTCTTTTAGCTTTATCTCTACGTGCCATCAGGTCTTTTATATCAGCTGTGATCCACGGTGCAGGGTTGTGCCTTATTTTCACACGTTTTACTGGTGTATGGTGATTATATAAATCTAAAATTAGAGAATTGAAGTTAATCACTTTGTCCTCAATGTTATAACATTCAATAACCGGTGACCAGTCAATTAAACTAGCATCGCTCCTCAACGTCTCCAAGTTAATACCATTATAACTTCTAAGATATCGAAAATGTGGCTTGCGCTTAGGGGGACGTACACGGTAAGATAAGTAAATGAGATCGTGATATGAAAATGAGGCACATATTTGTCCGTGGTTAGCAACACTATTTAAAGACGACACAATAATCAGATCTAGAAAAGATGCAGTACAATTGGGAAAGTGATGGGTGGCAGATAGAGGCAAGATTTCTAGGTTATAAGATGACATGAGAGATTTCAATTTATAAGTACGTAAATCATTTTTAATTATACATGTGTTGAAATCCCCAATCAAAATTACATGGCTATATACAGGACAGAAATTATTAAGAAGTGTATCTAATGTATCAAAGTAATTGATATTAAGGTTAGGACTATACAATACTCCAAGGAAAACTTTTGTATGATAAAGTGTGATTTCAAGGAACAAATGTTCCGCAGATTCCGAGTAAGTTGATGGAGATACGCTAATAACCCTGTAAGGTATTTCCGAACGTAAATAGATAGCAACACCTCCACCACCTTTGCCTACCCTATCGTTACGAATAAGAACGAAACCAGGTAATGAATATTGGATAGAAGGGAGGGAAGGCTTGAGAAAAGACTCAGAAATTAGAAGAGCAACTAGATGAGTACTGTCAAAGGATGCGAGAAGGTCAGAATAATGGCAAGGAATACTTTGTGCGTTTATGTGAGCTATATTAAGATTGTCAGGATATTGAGAGAAAAGGGTTGAAATACGATCATGCAGGTTAAGATCTACGGAAGGCTCAGAGTCCAGGCTTAAAAAGCTGTTAGAAGAAGACGAACATGAGAAAAAGCTATCATTATTATCTGTATCGATATCTGTATACATATTTTAAAAAAAAGGTACAATACTAATAAAAATATTTAAAAACAGAAATTTACTAAAATATAGAATAATATGTAAGTAAATTAAAAATAAATTATCTTATACTTATTCAATATTATATATAGAAAAAAAATTAACATTAAGGGCAACTCATCTTACTCACTGGCGTGATGGAAGAAATTTATACTAACAACTAACATTAGTAATTCAATTCAATTCAATTCAGTTTATTTATCTCTTCACAACTACTGCCTGGTTAACAATATCGATGTACATAGTAAGGACCTAGCGTTGTGAGAGACTGGTGCCTATTATAGGTTTTATTAAAAACCTGGGTTACAGGTCACCAGCCCCCCCTCGCGGATAGGTTACATATAATACAAAGAAAGAAATAATACAGAGAGGAATTATATCATAAAAGAGATAAAAAGTTACATTATAAGGCGAATTGCTGAATCCATTCAATGGATATGGACGTGTATAGGTGAGTATATGAAAGCGTGTATGTGTAAACATATATGTAATTGCGCGCGTGTGTGTGTGTGTGTGTGTGTGTGTGTGTGTGTGTGTGTGTGTGTGTGTGTGTGTGTGTGTGTGTGTGTGTGTGTGTGTGTGTGTGTGTGTGTGTGTGTGTGTGTGTGTGTGTGTGTGTGTGTGTGTGTGTGTTTATGATTGTACAGAAGCAAATCCTGGAGTATCATTATTAGAGGTTTTTATGGATTGTGATAAGAGTGATTCACGTTTCTGAGTAAATTAAAAGTATTAGTATTGGGTTAAAAGAAGATTCTCAGTTTCTTGGTAGTTAAGGGTTTTTAGGAATTTTCTTAATGTTATTTTACAACTAGATTTATTTTTTGGATATATGTCTAAAATTTTATTAAGTTTGTTATAAAGAAAGGGTCCCAAGAAACAGAAAAACTTATGTGAAAGAGCTGAGTTGAAAGTTAGAGTTTTGCATATTATATCTTTGCGGCGTTTATACTTAAAAAGATCTGGGTTATAACGTAGATGAGAGTGTTGTTTAAGCACAATATGCAGAATGAAAGTTTGTCTAACCGTTAGTACATCCCATTTTTTATACAGCTCGTCTGTAGGAAAACGGAAAGGAAGAACAGCACCTGCTTTAAGAATTGCACTTACACACAATTAAACAATTAGTGTGATTAAAATAGAAAAAAAAGAAAAGAAAACAAAAAGAAAGCTGGCTACAGTGTACTGTACAAATCAATATATAAAAGTAACAATACTACTAAAGTAATATTATATTTTATAGATAGTACAAAAAATGAAATGTCAAACCCATGTATGTACTACAATCACTTAAATATAAATAAAATATTAGTTCTTAAAATTAAGATACTTTGTGTTTCGTGCAATAAAGCATATCTATTATCACTTTCTAAAAATGCTGTAACGGAATGACGCATATATTTTGATAAAATAAAATAAAAATAAAAATATTATTATATTTCTTCATTAGACTTCCCGTTGGAATAATTTTTACTGTAGCGAAAAATGTCCACTTTATTTTTTTTTTTGCATGGGAAAGGCAATGCTAAATGATAAATCACCGCTTTATTCCAAAAAAGATTGACAGCAAAAATAATATGAATAATTTTTAGAACGTTTTTATAAATCATTTTAATTAATGTACCTAGTACTCTTTGACCTTAAAGTCGTTCGCGCAGTCTTTAAATTTCACGGAAATTGATACGGAAACCGGCCATAAAATATTTCTGTTTTTAATAAAAATATAAATCATTGAATTTTTAATATTCGACTTCGATCCCAATGTCATAGTTGGCCCGGCTACCTTCTGTTTTTTAAGATTAATTTTTGGTCCGATCTACACAGAGTAAGGTTACAGTATCTTGAAGTCTTGCAGTGGTATGCATGGGTTTGGATTTAATTTTGTTAATTATAGGATCCCAAGCAGATAGCAGAACCTATCCATCTTCTCTGTTGCAATTAGGATGTTTTTTAATTTCAATATTCTCGCATATCATCCTTGGTAGGAATCAGTGTTCTTTTGCGAGGATTTGTGGTATATGAAATCTGATGTAATGGGGGAGACCATCTTGAAAATATTTACAGACTGCAGACTTCTCGGAGTGTCGGTGCTTCACATCAACTATTTTTTTTATAGGATGAGGGTGACAAACGAGCACACATTCTATCTGATGGTATGTGGTTGCTGTGAAGTATAGGCATCTACATCTATCCTCGGTTACAAAACAAAGTGCAGATGCGTTGTCAGCCAAACAAAGGAATATGGTGGACGAAACACACCAGCGTTAAGTTGCTACTTTGCGCTGGTATTCTGTGAGAGCGTGGTCCTTCCCCGGTCGAGCCGACCCATTCGTGCTACAACTATACTACAAATATAGCTGCAGCATGGCTCTACTACGTTATAACATATGTTTTTTATATGTAAAAACGTAGTAGATATTATTTTGTCGGACGCAAGTACATACCAAAAGCTGAAAACAGACTCTACAACTAAAAAATTTAAAACAAAGAGCGATTTAATAAAGAAATACTCCGAAAAATTAAATCTCGACCTGAATTCGATAGAATAGAATAGAATAGAATATTTTTATTCAATATACATTACATGTGTAATTCTTATTGAAAGTCATTTTTTACTTTACCACTGGTTCGAAAAAAAAACCCTCTGTCCTGGGAAGAACCAGCAAGAAACCCAGCGGGACTTTTTTTTTTAAATAAATTTTACAATATAAATGATTACGAACTATTTACAAAATTTATTTTAGAAACTGCTTGGAAGCGACCACCTCATTCCCAGGGGTAATTATCAACCATGTATTCATTTATACTATAATAACCCTTTTTATACAGTTTCAGCTTAATAAAACATTTAAACTTGGTAATAGAGAGAACCTGTACACTTTCCGGGACCTTGTTGTATTAGCGTATACATTGCCCCAAGAATGAATTACTGACTCTGTGGAGTCGAGAAACTGGCATCACTAGCTTGTATTTGTTCCTAGTGTTTACAGAATGTATATCACTTTTTTACTAAAACTATCTTTGTTTTTGTGAACATACATTAAATTTTCGTAAATATACTGAGAGGCCAAAGTTAATATATTAATTTCTTTAAATTTATCTCTAAGAGACTCTCGGTTTTAGATTGTAAATAGCTCTAATGGCCCTCTTCTGTAAAACAAAAATAGGTTCTGAATCAGCCGCATTTCCCCATAGCAAAATCCCATAAGACATTATGCTATGGAAATAACTAAAATAAACTAATCTAGCTGTCTCGACACTAGTGAGACCTCTAATCTTTTTTACAGCATAGGCTGCAGAACTTAGTTTGCTTGCTAATTTGGATATATGGGGGCCCCACTGGAGCTTTGCGTCAAGAGTGATGCCAAGAAAAACAGTGGATACAACAGGGCTCAATTCCTCCCCATTTAAAAACACATTGGTATTAAGATTTTTAACATTCGTTGTTGTAAATTTAACACAATTAGTTTTATTTCCGTTCAAATGCAGATTATTAACGTTAAACCAATGCACTAATTTTGATATAGCATTATTCACTTCCTCACATTTAAATGATTGACGTTTAAGTTCAAAAATCAAGGAAGTATCATCAGCAAATAATACTATATCATGACTATCCCCTACAAGGTGAGGTAAGTCATTAATATACACCAGAAACAGGAATGGGCAAAGAATCGAGCCCTGAGGAACACCCATTAGTACAGGTGACCCGGAAGAACTTTTACCATTGATAACCTTCTGTTTTCTATTACTTAAATATGAAATAATAAGTTTAAGCGCTGTGTTCTTGACACCATAGTACTGTGGCTTCCTGATTCATGTCTCATGGTGAACACAGTCGAAGGCCTTGAAAAGGTTACAAAATATACCCAAAGCATCCTCTGAATTCTCCTATGCACAAAAAATATGTTTAATAAGCTCAACTCCAGCGTCAGTTGTCGAGCGACCCCTTGTAAAACCGAATTGATTTTTATGTAGCAATTTATTAATATTAAAGAAACTTAACATCTGATCTAAAATAATTTTTTCAAAAATTTTACTTAATGTTGGTAGTACAGAAATTGGTCTAAAATTGGCGGGGTCTAATGTACTACCAGATTTAAATATAGGTATGACTTTACTATGTTTCATTAAATCAGGAAACACACCAGATTCGACGCTTATATTAAATATAGTGGCTAGATAAGGTGCTAATATATCTATTATAGATAAAATAACTTTAACGGAAATCCCCCATAAGTCTGCCGTTTTCTTAACATCAATAGTTTTAAAATATTTAACGATATCTTTTGGCAGTACTCTATAGAATTTAAAAGTATTTGAACAAGTCTTTACATTTTGTTTGAGCAATGATTCGGCGACAGTAGGAGAAGAATTGGATTTTGTTGTCAAAAAAGGAACATCAGTAAAATGTTTCTCAAAAGCCATAGCAACTTCTTGATCAGATCGCGTTAAATTATTGTTAATATTCAATTGAAAATCCGAGTTGCGCGGTTTGACCTTGCCCGTTTCACTATTTATTATTCTCCAGGTCATTTTAATTTTGTCGGATGCTGTTTTAATTTTGTTGCTTAAATGTAAAGCCTTAGCAGTGGAGCACACTTTTTTAAATATTTTAGAATATGTTTTTACATAATCTCTAAATATAACACTCCTATTATATGATCTTTCATCATAAAGCTCGTATAACCTTCGCCTACTTTTATAAATTCCTGCTGTCGCCCATTCATTAAATGATTTGCGACTGTTAAAAGAGAAAGTTTTAGAAGTAAATATTCTACTAAATTCACAACTTATAATTTCAAATAATGTAGCATACAAATAATTAGCACTATTTTTAAACGAAAGTGATGGAAGTCTTTTTATTATATTACTTCTAAACCTCTCCAAGCGATGTTCATTTATTGGAACAAACACAACTTTCTTATTTTTCTGTTTTTTGTGTATGTAAGGTAGTGATACTAACTGTCCAC